AGCTGCCTGCATGCCTAACCTAGCTGCCTGCATGCCTAACCTAGCTGCCTGCATGCCTAACCTCGCTGCCTGCATGCCTAACCTTGCTGCCTGCATGCCTAACATTCGCTGCCTGCCTGCATGTCTACACTCGCTGCCTTACGTCCACGTTCGCTGCTACCTACCTGCATGCCTGCATATCTACACTACAAGTGCCTCGTTTGTAAACTGGACATTAGATGATGTGTAAAGACACGAACATAGAGACACATACGACACGATTGATATTTTTTTGCTCTGGTCCGGATTGCTGCTGACAGTGAAGTTACACTAGTATAGCCCCCCAACTAATCGCCCACGACCTCATTTTGTTAATTCATTACATGGCTGCAACCGATAATTGATTCGTATTTGGCTAATTATTACATAAAATATCAATAATTTCTTCAATATTCTCTGACAACACTTAGGATTCTCTGACAAAGTTATGCAGCTTACAGTACCATTAGGAGTGTTCCCAACTTTAATATCATTAATGGTCATAATAACATATATATATATATATGGTCATATATTAGTTCGTGGTTTAATGTCATTTAGGTTAGGGTTAGGGTTAGGGTTAGGATTATCAATCATTAATCATTAATCATTAATAATATCAAAGTTGGGAACACTCCTAATGAAGCGTTAGCAAGAATGTTCATCTGAACTCTCCATTTGAAGGGAGGGGGGAGGGGGAATTAGGATAAATTACTATACTTACAAGTGTTTCTGTTAATAACGACACTTGAAACTTGGGCAAACCTGCACAGATTTCCCTTTCGGGGACAATACATTTTGTACTTTTATTTATCTAAGTTAATTCGTTACAAATTTGTACTGTATATAAACATGAAATTACGATCAATGATCTGATATCAAATACTGACAAAAACATTTGTATGATGTGACATTGTCTCATGTTAAGTGTTAGTTGTGCTACTAATAGCCAACAGGTTATTACAATAAATTTGTTTGCTACTAATGTAAGACACGATATAACACAAATATAAAAGGAGAAAGGGTAAGGGTAAAGGGTGATCATGAAGGGTAAATAAAATATAAAGGGTGGGGATTATTACTAAACATTACCCATGATCCTTATATTATTTGCATTTTGATAAATTTACCAGCATATGCTGTAATTCAGTGCCAATTCCCTATACCGCACTCTTAGACACAGTTCACTTGCACACATACACTGCATTCCTTCACACAAAAACTTTCTGTTCGCACACAAAAGCTGCCCGCATATACTCTCTATACCCACACACATCCCAGCTGTTTCCCTCCCACACACATTCTGAATGACCATCATCTGCCACAGAAATTATGCAGAGCACACAACCACCCTAGTAAGCCGGTCTCAGCAACAATGCAGTACGTAACACTCACGCGACTAAGGCACAGACGACAGTAAATCGTTAGATGCCCCGCAGCAGCGAGAGACCATGTCAGGGTTTCACGCTGCCAGGGGGCACGTTTGCACCTACTGATGCTGACTCATCTACACCTATTGTGATTCATCATCGACGGCCACCTGTGGTATTCTGCCTAGGATTACCTGCGTTTTTTTGTCTAGAGCTACCTGTGGTATTTTGCTAAAACATACTTGTGATATTTAGTCTAGCGGCTACCTGTGATAATTTGCTCTACGATTACCTATGGTATTTGTCTATGATTACCGTGTGATATTGTCTACGTACTACCTGTGGATATTTTTCCAGGGACTACCTGCTAATTTTTGTCTCTACACTACCTGCTGAACATCTTGTTTTAGGCTGGCAATTTTCACATTGTGTGACCCAAACTGGCATTGCTACAAAAAGTATTATAAAAGTGAGCACTCAAAATTTTAGCTAAAATTATTTCTCTGGTAAGTAGGGTTATATTTTGTGCTGACATATAATCAGTGTTTTTAATTATTATGCCTGAAAAACTGCCAGACTGATAGTGGCTATTATTACACATAAAGCATGTATTTTTAAGGTGCATGTGATTGAAAAATTATTGTCCCTGCCGCTCGAATGCTCCTTAACCGCCACCCATGAAACCTCGTCCTGGGAAAGCCCTCTTTAGCTCTCACCAAATATACCCTTGCCTGACTTAATTATATCGAATAAGTAAAGCTTTCTGCTAACTAATAGAATTACTTTCAAATATTTGTCCCCTAGGACATCTAGTACGTGTCATACGACGTTTAGATCACATCTATGCTCAATGCCTACCTTGTGATTATTGCGCGGCTGCTGGTGATTTCAACTCAAAGTTCAACCTTTGGGATGATTTTCAACCGCATCAAGGAATTCGTCGTCCTCATCCGACTGTAACAGCCCACCTGTAGTGGACAAGTGACACCGTTAGTCACTCGCACATCATCGCAATCAAACATGATACAATTGCCATGAACAGTTGCTGCTGCGCTGCTCCATCAACACAATGTCTGCATACACGCATGGGATAAAGGATTACTTTAAACTCACTGGCATTGAAATGGAAAAACACTTATATGTTCAATCTGGCAAAATAATTAGCACCCAGTCAGTAGTAGTAGTAAGTAGTAATGTAGCAATTAATAAAATAAGCATGTAATTAATAATAATAATAATCATCATCATCATCACATATCATAATAGCAGTAACTAATAATAATAATAAATTAATAGCTGTAATAATAATAATAATAAATAATGAATAGTGTCCATGCAAGCTGTAGACAGAGTCCACCCTCTGCCACATCAAAACACCATTCAGGCATAACAGCGCTATCTCACTATTTCAAAAATAGACAAGCCTTGAAGCGAACATTTTTCAACAAAGCTTTATCCAGATCTTAGATCTTATTAGCGACAAAATGAGCATCTAACTAAGAATGAGCTGACCTCGATTTCCACACAGATAATTCACCGATAAAAGGCCCTACTGTCGGGTCGCTTGGAGTCATTACAGTAATTCAGCTCGCTGTCGTTGCTGCCGCGTTCATTCTAGCGAGTTTGTCGCTTGCCCTTCTTGTGACAAAATATGTTACTTCTTCATCCACTATTGAAACATTATGCGATTACTTCAATAGTTGACTCTCGATCACTGAACGATGGGAATAAGAACTGTTTTTTATGATGGCAGGCAATTTCACTTATTAAGCGACAAGTCACTCAAAATAATTACGAAAAATTAGTACACATCGAAAAAAAAGAAATTGCTCTATTCTTATATTAGCACTCGAATAAAAAATTATCTCAGTCTTTCTTGATGAGCCCCATTTAATCTTCTACCCTTCACTGCTTCCTTACATTGCAATCTCCATTCGCTAGTGCAATTGCGACTGACATTCAAAAAGGACTATTTCGAAACGACCTGTTCAACGCACATACATTAGAACATATAACTCAAGTCTGCGAACCTCGTCATTTTAGATTCTAGGCAGCATATAATTGTGCAGGCGACCCAGAGATTCGTTACGTTAGCCAAGAATATACCAGCCCCTCACCTCTTCCAGTGCTACACATCTAGGGTTCTCCAAGCATTTTCATTATAGCATGGCGGGGCTGCCTTTATTGTCCTAGTTTAAGCTTATTAGCTAATTTTAGCATGGCGGCTATGATATTTAGAGTGGCGGGTGCATTTTAGGATGGCGGGCCGCCAGGCTATAAGTGCTCTTGGAGAAACCTGCTATCTTTGACGTCCGTTTTTCGATTTACAGGCGTCTGGACAATGACTACGAGGCGAGGGTCGCACAAGCAGGCTCACCCGTGGACAATATCTGCTGGACCGTCTTCGATTCCTTTCGGGCCTCCATCTCCAGGTGGCTGTGCTGCTTAGCTAACTGCTCCACCATCTCCTCCAGTCGCAGCCGCTGCTCGTGCTCATGCAGTAGCGCCCTCTGCCAGCGTCTACCCTGCGACTGCGCGTGTGAGAGGTAGTCGGAGCAGGCCTGCGGATTAAACGCTGCATAAATACATGCATATATAGTAGTAACTCCCTATTGCAATACTACACCGACGTACTGTTACATCCAACGAAAGAAGTGTCAAGAAATGTTGTTGAATCGATTCTTATTTGGATACTAGTAGAACAACTCTGACACGGGAACTTCAATTCTGCACGATTGTTCCCCGCAGCTAGTACTATGTATGTACCACCCATAACCACAGTGTGACAGTAAATACAATATTAGAGACAGCGTACTACTCAACTTGGTGCAAGATTTAATGACCAATGGTGCTGGAGCCTTCCCCCATATCAATTATAGCAACAGACACTCTGAATGAGCCATTGGCAATGATATTTTTTCTCAATACTTTTGCGGTATTTCTCGGTGGTGCAATCTATAGGACAATTTTGCGATCAATGATTTCCAGAGAATGTATTCACATCAACGCATGCTCGTTAATCTAACAAGCCAACGACCACCAGGCATCGTTCCACTGAGGCGCTTGACCCTACGCGACGTCTGCACCTGACCCCATACGACCTTTGTGCTTGATCCCAAGCAAACTTCGCACTTGACCCGACTAAACATTTGTGCATGACTCCACATGACCTTCACGTTTGACCCCTCACGACCTCTGTGCACATTTGACCCCATGCAACTATCGCACTTGACCCCCCCCCCGCAACCTTTATGCTAGACCTCTACGCGACCTTCGCGCTCAACCCCAACGCGACCTTCATGCTTGACCCCTACGCAACCTTCACACTCGACCCCCCACGCGACCTTCGCACTCGACCCCTACAAGAACCTTCACAATTGACCCCCATGCAACCTTCATGCTTGACCTCTACACAAACTTCACACTCGACCCCTATGCGACCTTCGCACTCGACCCCAATGCGACCTTCACGCTTAACCCCTATGCGACCTTCATGCTCGACTCCCTATGCAACCTTCACAATTGACCCCCATGCGACTTTCACGCTCGACCCCTACACGACCTTCACGCTCAACCCCTACGTGGACTTCACGCTCGACCCCTACGTGGCCTTCACGCTCGACCCATAAGCGACCTTCACGGGGTCCACGCTCACCAGAGGAAAAATTACTCTTTTTTTTCACGGGAGCTCTTTTTCAAGTCTGTGGGGAAAATTGCCGTCGTCAAAAATTTTACGGGAGCTATTTTCAGCCTCACGGGAGCGATTTCGGAGGTTTGAAGATCGAATCGCTCATCGCTCCCGTGTATTTTTCACCCTGACGCTCACGTTTATCATCGCGTTGGCGGTGATGCGAAACAGCGTCGAGCGCTCGTTCACCGACTTCATCTTCTGCGTGTGCTCGGTGGCGGCCGCCGCCGCCGTGTTCAGCGCCTCCAGCTCGTTGAGCGCCCTCTGCAGGGTGGCGCCGTGCTTCATGATCAGCTCGTTGCACGTGTTGAGGTCGTCGAGCTTCGACGCGAGCGCGCGCAGCGTCGTGTGCAGCTCGTGCTTGTCGGGACGCTCGGGGAGATCCTCCTCCTCCTCTGCGGAAGAGGAAGCATGTCTCCAGGGGACGAATTTCCGAAAAATCGCGAGTGCCTAAAAAATCTACGTGCTAAAATGAATTCTAACGTGCAATTTTTTTATGTACAACATAAACTACTTTTTGAATATTTACATACACTTTTTGCATACTATTACTACTAACCGTTGGAATGAGCTTATGTTGTGATAAACGTTTTATTATTTCAGCGTCTGGTAAATAACGGTGAATTGAAACTTGTTTAGGCAATTTGACCGACCAGTTTGACCATTAACCATGAAATATATTCTTTTTGTGAGCGACACTGATAATATATGCGGTATATGCTATAAAATTCCACTCGCAGAAAATAGCAAGTGCTTGTATTTTCTACTCGCAATTTCTAAATATCGACACGCATTTTGCGAGTTAGCAATAGGGAAATTCGAGCCCCTTGTCACGTGCATCACCGAGGCCATAATAATAATATTGTTTGTTTGCCCTCGCCCAACCGACCCGCCAAAAAGGGGCCGACTCAAACATATTTATTGATATTTTCCATTCTTCTTTTTTTTTTACAAATTGTATCATTGTACATTATATAAATCTGTAGGCAATACATTATATGCACCAAGCAAAACAAACATTCAACATAAATTGTGGCCTGAGAGAGAACGCGTGAATCGCTACATGTATGGTCAACGTGATACCTACAACTCACACATCGTCATATCACATGGGTCACACCGATTAAAACATACACTACACGATGCGCAGAGAGAGAAAACGGCTTCGTAAATCGGCGCACCTCACCAAGAGAGAACGCAGCGAATCACTACGTGACAACTACAACTCACGCATCATTATACGATCGCACCGAATCGATTACCACGTACTAAAAGCGACAGTCTTTTCCCGATCACACGAATCAAGATAAGAAACTATAAGACATATATATCCCAATTGCGACCATTCCTCGAAATATGTGACTGAAAGTGGCACCAAAGTGGCAGCCGTCAGAGACTGAGTATCCGCCACATCTCCAACTCCAGCTCCTCTCTAATGAGAGTCTGCGTTGGATCGACGCAGACCAGCTAGGTTAGCACACAACCGATGTCAGTGAGTACGAACCATCCTCCATCTGTCGGATAGACTTGGCCTTTGCGAGCTCGAGCGCCGTGACCCATCGTTGCCGGTCGACCTCCGACTGAGCCTTCAGGTGGAAGGTGCGGGTGCCGCCGTTCGAGATCGTCAGGTTACAGGAGTCCTCCGTGTGTATGAAGGCGCCGCGCAGCGAGATCGTGCCCCGGCATGTGTGCGCCACCTCCGCATGAGTCCTGCAAGCAAACGCGAACGAGTGAGGCATCGGCCATGCTCGCAGGATAACAGGAGTGATGATCAATGGAACGTTTAGGAACGAGTTCACGTTACGATCATCGAGTGAAGCGTCGGCTACATGTGCAGGATAACAGGAGTGATGATCAATGGAACGTTTAGGAACGAGTTCACGTTACGATCATCGAGTGAAGCGTCGGCTACATGTGCAGGATAACAGGAGTGATGATCAATGGAACGTTTAGGAACGAGTTCACGTTACGATCATCGAGTGAAGCGTCGGCTACATGTGCAGGATAACAGGAGAGATGATCAATGGAACGTTTAGGAACGAGTTCACGTTACGATCATCGAGTGAAGCGTCGGCTACATGTGCAGGATAACAGGAGAGATGATCAATGGAACGTTTAGGAACGAGTTCAC